CGCCTGTCACTCTTCGCAGCCATTGCCGTTACTGCGCGACTTGTCCCTCGTTCAAGCGACAGCCGGATGCGAATCGACTAAGGGATCTGTCAGTCTGGTTAAAGCTTTGCGAGCTGGATCAATTAACCAATTAAAAGGGGAAAGAAGCGTAATTGTAAGCAGAACCCGCGCGCACAGGCTGGACGGGGTCTACCGTAGCTGAGGGCTCTGCCATTCCCAGACAGAGTTAAGCTGACAGCTTTACCGTCCCCACTCATCGAACAAATTACGGAAGCGGGACATAGACGAACCGACGAGCTGACGAAAAGAATGACGTTCCAGGCACCGACAAAACTAAGGTATATGCGGACGCGGCCCGTACGTCGTGCCCCGCCGTAACGCATGACTGGTGAGGGCGATAACGGAACAACCTGGATCCTTATGGCCGCCTACAACAGGTAAAACAACAGAGCCCCGGCGCAGGCCAGTGAACGAGCCGCCGCGCCGAAGCGCGCGTCACCGGCCTGGGTCATGTTCATCGACGCTGGGCGCGGGTGCCCTGTCGCCGCCCGATCAAATCGCCTCCGGCTTCGCTTAAATGCTTCAACAGTTAAAACGCAGCCCACCACCTGTATTTAGTCATTCGCACATAGCGACATATAAGAATACTGGTCAAGCTTTCGCTCTCCGTTCTCACACGGTGACAGCCCCACCCCGGTTCAGCGTCGAAACCGCGTGACATAGCCCCTTCCCCCGCACATCATTAATCGTGGGATCCCACCTCTCGCCCCAAGTCGCCTCTAGCGAGTTTTTAGGAACAGGTCCCAGCCCCGTACATGGTTCAGATGATAATGGAAGGTTTGCCGCTGGCGTCCGCCGCCGTGGCGATGCTTCATAAGCCTCGCAGAAGCTTAAGCCATCACCGTCCGGCATCGCCATCCCCGTGGCTGTGTCTCAAGGCCTACCCGCGCGTGCCACGCTCTCGGGCCGGCTGAGGTGGGGAAAGAGGGCTTTGGACAGTTGCGTCAGTACCTGAACTCATATCTGCACCGGCCCACGGCATGTGAACTCACACCTGCACCGGCCCACGACATACGAACTCACACCTGCACCGGCCCACGACATGTGAACTCACGTCGCTCAGCGTAAGCAGTGCATAGGCAGGACGATGAAGGTCGAAAAATGGGCAAAATGGACAATGCAGATCGTGGACGGCCCCGTGTATAATACCGTGTATGACGGCCCCGTAACAATGACCGAGCTACTGCCTGAAATGCAACGCAGCGCACGTTGCCTGTGCCCCGGTGGAGCCAACCTCGTGGCAGCGGGCGCCGGGGCTTTGGCCTACCGCCGCGGCGCTGCCGGCGGGGTTTTAAGTCTGTCATGTGGTCCTAGACCGGGCGTCACTGCGCTACATATTGACATTTGGGTTTGAATTTGGCCCGGCCGTTCATGAAACACGCATGAATTCGCACTTCCCTCACCTGTTTAACGGTCTGTCTCTACTGGGCCCGGTCAAAGACCGGTTGAAAGAGTACGCTTCCGCGTGTTTGGATACCGCTCGCTAATTGTCAGTATCACTGCTTGCATTTGGCTGTGCAAACGGTACATGCAACACAATCTTTGCACAAGCTCTACGGCAAAGAAGCCGCAAAACTGCTGCGTGTGTTTTTGATCGGCGCTCACCTCTCAAACAAACGAGCAGTATGCAAATGAGGCAAACGAACGTTTGGCAACGACAGGGCTTGGCGGCAAACTCCGATAATCCAACCAAGCGTTGGCAAACCCCTTCGTAAAAACTCCACTGTCTCCACTGTCTCCTGTCCTCCACTGTCTCTTTAGCGGCCCAAAAAAGGTCACGTCCAGTGGCTGTGTTAGGTGGGTGCTGTTCGGCAGCAGACAGATGAGAACATGCCGTTTTCCTTGCAGGTCGTGATCACCCTCTCCGAGAGATGTGACGACAGGTTATCGCCAACGATGGCTTTCCTGCCAGTTTTTCCGTCGGAGATACGGCAGACAGATCCGGAAGAACCGGTCCTCCAAAGATTGTTCATCGAACCACCCAGATGGTGAGAATGTGTGCTTGGCACCCAGATGGACCGCCTGCTGTCCACTCCTGACACATATTTTGCGCCTTGTATGCTACATATGGAGGCAGACGCTCCCCAGATGCGCTCACAGCAAGCATCGCTGACACTCCAGCCTTGCTGTGGCTTTTCACGGACCCTGGGTACTTCATGCCCCTTTTCACAACAACTGTCTTACGGCTCGGATCGTCACCCAACGCCGTCTCATGGTAATCGACTAGATTCTCGGGTGTCACACCATCAAGAAATGTCTCAAGGTGTGTGAAGTACTCCTAAATCGCATCGGGGTCGGCTTTCGCCCGATACACTTTGATGTTGCTCGACATGCGGTTTGTTAGGTCGTTCCAGTGCATGAAGCTCTGTGCCCAGGCCCATCCAGGCACGTTGTTGAGGAACTGTGGGTGTTTGATGCCATTTCAGTCAAGGCCTTAACTATCATCCTTACGTCCATCAAAGTATAAGGAAATCCCCATTCCGCCATCTGGATCAGCCTCTTGGCGAGGTACCTTTCTTCTGGCTCGCTTAGAGCGCAAGGACGACCTGGTTCCTGGTCATGTTTGCGAGATAGTTTGTTTGCTAATGTCTGGCAGTTTAGACCATGCAAGAGAGCCGCTTTCCTCACAGACATAACACTGTTTACATCTTCAATCGCTTTCCTAATGGTTCCTAAAGTATAATTTCTACAGGGACGAGGATGAGGCATGGTGCAAATCAGGACTGGGCTTTGACCTGGAACTGAAACGCATGGATGAGGAAAGGTCATGACACTAAAAAAAAACATGGAAAAGTTATGTAGAGCATTACGTGGAGTTTCACTTGTGCATCCACTATTTAATGACTGGTAGCATACCTCCTAGGGTCCCATTTAAGGAAACAGGGGTGGCTAAGGTTTGCATGATGCCAACTTTAGCCACTCCTCCTCACCTTTAGTCGCAGCTCCAGTAAAAAGGAACCAATAAATCGTGTCATACTAAGTCGGCAATGACAGTAAACGCCTAAAAGGTTATGCAGAAATGCTTATTTTTGCTGTGTTAGCTCTTCCTACTTGTCTAGAGGTACCATCAAATTCACCTAATTTTTTAGGAACTTTGAAGAGTGTTCGAAGCCGCAAAATAATTATTTCTGATTGGTGAAATGACTGCTGTTCAGTACCAACTTAGTCTTATAAGAACGTAAATCACGCTGGTAAAGTTTATAATCCCCACTTTGAAACATAACATGCACGTGATGGATTTAAAGTCTGAATCACAGTTTGGCTAAGCTTACCCTAAAGGCTAAAGTTACCCTGAATGATGGTATCACTTGCAACTTTCGGCATGTGAAATACGCTATTTTCGCTAAAGTGGAGCAGTTTAAAATATGAACCATGTAACAAACATAAAAAGACCAATTAGTATGCACCCTATTAACTTTTGCTTACTTCGGTCTCCTCCGGGCCCTTGGTGAGGGCATTTCGGTACCCGTAGAACCTTTAGCTGCAGACAATGTGACACACTGCACCGACACGGTGGCCACCAGCGGGCGGACACGTTGTACCTCGTGAACCAGAGCTGGCACGCCGTCCGGGCCAGGCTGAGGTGGCCTGGTCCGTTGGCAGCGGCTGCACCCGTGGCCTCCCCTGACCGGACCTACCACGCAAGCTCTCGGCTTGGTGTGGGCTCGGCGCCTCCAAGACACGTAAAAACTGCCTATGATGGTTTTGCCGTACCCAGAAACTTTATCACTCGACGAACCGCGCTGTCTCAAAGGCCGTTGCGATGCCAATATTAAAGGCGTATAATAAAGTATACATAATCAAAACGTCTCATACAGCATTGTTTTCGTTTTGGTGTAATGCGTATCTGCAAACGTCACCGTTTCAGTGACGTTCACTTTCTGACAAACAGCACCAACGCGCGCCACTTCATTTGACCAGTTGTCTACACTCGAGATGGAATGTCCGGCGAGTCTAAGCACCTTGCTTCAGTTTTATCGCGACACGAACGCGCATCATAGAGCGGCACTGGACGGATTAATTAAATTACCGAAGAACATTCCAAGCAGGTGCAAGGCGTGACCCCACAGACCAACTGGTCCAAACAAAACGCATGCTTTATCGACGGTCGCTGCGTTGGCTTGCCGTATGAGCCTCAGTAAGAACCGTTGCGTCTGATCGCTCAGCGGGCCATCACTGCACCTGCTGTTAGGCTGTGATGAAAGCATGAGTCAGCGGTGAACGGCCTGGATCAGGCTTGCGCTTGATCCTGTTTTAGTGAAATTGATGCGGAATCCGACTCAAAACGGATAACGGCCAAAAAGAGTTCGTTGCAAAGTGCCTTCAAAAATGGAAAATTGTAACCGAATGCGAATGCGAAAAAAACGAAACCGAATGGAATAAGCACACCATGGAGTGTTTGCACGGCGACGCACTGCCTACAACACCGAATTTTGCTTGCTAGCCTCAAACCGTTTGTGAGAGAAGCTAGGGCATTATGGGTGAAACCAACAGGCTGGTCACCCAAAGATCATATAAAAACAGATCATATAAAAACAGACCATGTAAAAACAGATAATATAAAAACAGATCATATAAAAACAGACGAGTAGCCTTTAAATCATGCATGCTCTTCATGAAATCTCTCTCAAACAAATAAAATGACGAAAGAAGCTGTGGAAGCCTTCAAACGGCCATGAAGAGACATCGTCCAGATCCGAAAGGTAACTGATGACATGTGATGGCCTCTTCCCCCATTATGGCCTCTTCCCCAGCTATAATGGAGCAATTGTCTCCCATGCCGAGAGAGGACAACCGAAGGACAGTCAAAGAGACCAGTCTTGAAGTGAGTATCACATACAGGTACAGGCACAGGCACAGGCACAGGCACAGGCACAGGCACAGGCACAGGCACAGGCACCTCAGCCATGAACAGAAACAGTGCCGTGCCACCATCTCACCCCTTTATTTGGCTGCTTCCTGGCGGGAAGGCCACAACTTTCTGAAAAGTATCGTGGCCTGCGATGAAATATGGGTTCATTGGTGGAAGCTGGAACACGCCAGAGCGTGGAGGGTATGGGGGCCGATTAACCCCGCCCAATGGGCTTGATAAGTAAGTGGGAAGAGGCGACCTTTGGTAGATTCGCTCTAAGGAAAGATGAATCATGTGGGAGAGTTAAAATCCCAACTTGATTTACGGTCTCGTTTATCTCATGTCTCGTGTATCTGCGCCATAGTGATCGTGGTACATTTGTGGGCTCTGGCGTAAGCCGACCGCTCTGGACGTAATCTGTTCTGGTGGTGGGAAGAACAGCGAATGATGCGGTGAACGCTGCGGTATGACGGCTGCGATGAGGTGACGGCCTTGGCAGTGAGGACAACTCGCAAGGTCTTTACGAACCGTCAGGGGTGAGGTAGAGAAATAACAGGCCTCGCGATATTCGTCGCCAGGCACACTCGGGCGGCTCAAGGCGCCCGCAACGTACCGCTGTAATACAACATCCGTCGACTCCCAAACACATTCGCAACAACACTGCACTGCTGTGGACACAGCTGCAAAGCAAAAGTTTGTCTTATGACGCTAATCCAGGTCATGGCGCTGGTGCACTTTAAACTGAATCATCAGAACACATGCCCGCCATCCAGTCCTCTGCGCGCTTCACTTTTGTCCTATTTCATTACCAAAACACAGACACAAAAAACAATATTTGCAAAACGTAGCTGGCTATTACGAGATTTTACAAAGTGCAATACAAATTTTGGACATAAAGCCATATATATCCACTCCACTAATGAGGATCAGCATCGCTCGAAACGAGTACCGTCAATATAATAATCATTTGGCGTTGCAACGTATATTAAATGTCGAAAGTAAATATGAGAACAGTGGACCAACAATGTTACACGAATTCTGTGTTTGTACGCATTAAACACTGTTAGCTTCTCTGCTGCTTTCCACCTGCTACCAGTAAAAGTATCATAAAAATCCATTAATATGAAAAATAGCATCGGTCCGCAGATCTCGAGGCCTTCCAATCGCGCGCATCTGGATTCACCGCCGTCATTGGGACTTTAAAACGCACTCAGCTTCTGAGGCTATATGGTGTATCTTGTCTCTCACCCAGGTAGGAAATGCGGGCATCGAGGGGGATCGAACTCCGCACCTCTGGTTTCTCTGACACGCAGTGGTTTGCGCATACGCGTTGGCCACTGCACTATCAGCACCCTCGATTTGGGACTGATACAGACCTGGGATCCAATGCCGGGACCAGACTATTAGCACTGGAACCATTATATCTGGTACTTCTGGCATGGCCAACAGAGGAAACTTGGTTGCAAAGGAACAGAGTCAATGCAAATTTGTATCATGCCTATTACGCATTGTATTTCATTTATCCTTGTTTGCGTGGTAAATCGCTCTTAACCTTACCCAGGAACGGTTTCAAAATGTGTTGATAGGATCTATATATTTAGAAACTGGTGATCAATAGATTTGACACGATAGAATGGTTTGACCATGAAAAAGATTTGTTTTAAATGTGACGAATTGGGCAGTCCCGAACTGTGTTGGTAACAGAAAAGGCGAAATAAGAAGGCGAGTCTACACTTCATTTGAAGAAGTGACCAACCGAGGTTGGCTGCAAACTCAGCCACTTTTGGAAGACGTCATCGCACTTGTCTACACCTCACTGACAATTTTGGCTCCACCCAGGCGGCAGTATGTGATTTGCGGAAACGTGACTTTTTCACCTTCTAAATCCGCATCATACATAATGATTTTGCCGCATTAGTCTTGGTTGAAGCGGTCATCGGTAGCAAGAGGCAGACAATGAATGGATGACATCCAGCAATAGTGGGTTTGATTCGACTGGATTGTAAAAATGCACTCCGTCGGTAGCTCTCGATGTCATACCTCACTGTACCTGCGTCCTGTGTTAGGCAGACATTTCTTACAACTTGGCCAAATGCTGAGTGTCAAATGAGAAATGCCTCTTACAGCTAAAAGCAGAATGCTGGACGAATATCTCGTATCAAGAAAAGGCAGCGCACTCAAAACCTCAACTTGCGATGTTCAGTGCAAACGGCGATACGCCCGGATTACACGCACGTTGCGGCCATCACATGCTGCAAAACGAGCTTAAGAAAAGCAAAACCGCAATCTGATTCCCATACTTGTCATCCTATGCTTTACACCAGCACGTCCCCCTTTTACTTACCTGATTTTTTTAGACAGCATGTTATCTTGGCGATGGGCGCCTGGCGCCCTGGGCAACTCCTCAGTTCACCAACAAATTTAAACGGGGCTTCAAATGGCGCCTCTAAGAACGCGTGACCTCATCCAACGTTATGATACTTGCTTCCTGTCGCAGACCACGGTGACAAGGCGTACACGCCAGGCACGAGCGCGGGTACCAGTCGCCGGTCCGGTGTGAGTCCGCGGAAGACCCACCGACCTGTATGGCACGCCAAGGCTGGTGGTGGGTCTCGCTGGCGCGGGTGAGCTGCCGCCGCCGCCCCCGCTGCCACCGGCCTCCCCCCCTCACCCGCGATCCTTTGACGCCGACTGGGCCGTCTCGCACGTCGTCGGCCTGTCCCCCGCCGCTCCCCGGCCTGGTCTTCCTGCGCATCGATCAACACGCGGACTGACGTCATTCGCTCGCTGGGATCTGGGCTGCGCGCGCCGCCGGCAGTGCGCCGCCCCGCCTCCAGTGCCGGGCAGAGGTCATGGCTGCGGAATGTGGCACCCGATCCCGCCGGGTGGGAGGGGGGGGGGGGGGGGAGCAGCGGCGTAATTTTGCAGCATAAGTTTGGGTAGGAGCTGAGCAGTGAACCATAACGGAATCTATCGCAAAAAAGTTAACGAACGGTCTCTGCGGATTTGGCCCGCTTTCTTTTAAAAGTTGGGTATCGTAGGTTTCGGGGTGTTTTTGATGGTCCTTGGCCTTACTCTTGGTCGCCGTATTTTGGGAAGGATGGATATCGATCACTGTGCATCATTTCGTGAAGATTTCGTTTCCATCGGCTCCATGGGCTCAAAGCAATGGGTTGCTTGCATCACATTCGGGGGTTTTCAAACGTTTTTGATGACTTTTAACCCGACACAAGACTTGATATGGACCACTGCGTATCAATTAGCAAAGCTGTTTCGATCGGTGTCAAAGGGTCAGACCATAGGTTAGTCGGAAAACTGGTTTTTCCTTATTTTACGTTTTTAATAACCTTTCACCTAACACGTGGTCACCATGTTCGGTAAAAGACAGGTTATCTGCCATCACGCATTGATAAGCAAAGGCGTTGCGCCGACCGGTCCCGTAAACTGTGAGCACGGGATTGTTTGCAAGCTCATTTCTGGTGATTTGGGACTCGTTTGGCCCAGGCCAAGTTCAACACGTTCTGGTGAAGATAGGTTATCAACCATGTTCCATCGATTAGTAACTGATTTGATATATTATTATCACACACACACACACATATATATGTATATATATATATATATATATATATATATATATATATATATATATATCTCTCTCTCTCTCTCTCTCCCTCATATATATATATATATATATATATATATATATATATATATATATATATACGATAGCGTTCCCAGCGCTAGAACGACGTCCGCCACCATCAATCTTATCAAAGAGCACCACGAACAAATAAACACAAATGGACACAAAACCTCACAAACAACTACGTGCGGTTTGGTCAACGTTATTTCAAACAGATGGGGCCAGTGGGTTTAAGAAGCCGCATTGCCCCACCACTGGCATTTGTTGTTATGAACGCAATCGAATCGTCGGAAGCGATAAACGACGACCCTCGTTTCAAAGCATGCCCATCCGGTCGCCCGCATGCGGCATATAAGCGACATTGTGGGGATATTTTTTTAAATTTTGCATCGGTACCTTTGAATAGATATATGTCTCGGACCAGAGTTCACGCTAAGCAGTGCTTGGTATGTGAGCCCTGGCCCCCATCATCCGATCTCGCAATTCCATGTCAACGGCAGAATTTGGTGGCGAAAGCTCAACGTGCTGCAATGCTAGGCAAAGTCTCTCCTGCGCTCTGACGCCACCTGAACTTTATTGCGGCCGCTGCCACCGACCACGGGCCATATCTGTCAAGGCCAAATAGCGAACGCCTGGAGCGGCTCACACTCACCCTGCCACGGTAGGCTGAATCGAAATGTAGACGTTCTAACCCATTGAGTCATCGGGACGGACAAGGTTTGGATTTGTATGCATGGGTCTGAGAATTGGGATAGTTATTTGAGCTTAATCAACAACTTCCAGCCTATTTTTCAAATTTGTCATGAAAAGAACAAATCACTCCAACTCTAGCCGGGCCACCATGTTCTGGAAGGGATAGGTTATCGACCAAGCGGCAGCGAACTGTGAATGCTTGGTGTCAACTGGTCCCACAGGCTCAGAGGATGGGACTGTCAACAGGTTTTGTCGGCCGTTTGGTCCTTCCCTGCACTGGAACCGTATGGCGGTTCTGGCCGGTTTCGGTTTTCGCATTGCTTGCGCTAAGCCCGTTGAGGTGGCCTTGCTTGCCTACCGTCCGAGGGAGATTGCTCTAGGCTTTGCCGGATCCGCGCCATTTTGCTCTGCGGTCAAAAGTGGGACGGTTTGTAAACTTGGCGTGGAGGAGGAAGGGTATTTGCCTAAGTTTTTCCGATGGGGCCGAATTATTGTGTTGAAGTCTTGACGAGGCGAGATTGCTCTTGACGAGAGCCAACCCAGGGTTCGGAAGGCTAGCACAACTTTGTGTGGATCCGTGGAGGGTGCTTGTATATTGAATGAGATTAATGTACACGGACAGCGCCACGGGTTTTGAGTTACGGGGGGGGGGAAGGGGGTGACAATAATTTCCAGGGAGCTTCCTGGATAGACTGGAACCTACTCAAAGCGTGGGCCAGGACTCCTCGGCACTACTGTATTCTAGGGGAGGGGCCTCGAAGGCACGTGCCCTCTTGTCGCATTGTTACCGGCATCAATATCCACGTAAAGTAATGTCGGTAGTCAAAAAACCGGAAGGAGGGTCTTTTAGTGAATGCTGGTGTCTTGTTCATCCAGAGAAGGGCCACCCAACCCTAAAACAAGGTTTCCTCTGCCAGAAAGGGGCTTTCTGATGCAGAACTTCCCGATTCAGAGCAGAACCCTTCCGAATGACGACAAGGTCACCAAGCCCAGCAAATGGTTCCGTTATCCTAAAGCAGGAAAGACTGATTGGGAAATGCGGCTTTCTGATACCCATAGCTAGGCGGGAGCAATAGGTGTAAGTGCATCCACGCATTCAGTCTGAATGAAACCTTTGGGCCCATTTCCCAAGCAGAAGCAAAGCTTGTGCCACGATTTGTATTGGTCTGGGTCTTCGAAACAATGCTCAGGGGCTCACAGCACCTTACAGGGGTCATGTGTCGGCTAGTGGCCACGAGTCGTTCACGGACATCGCTTGAAGAGGTCCGAACGGGGGCCGAAGGGTCTCTCGGGACAAAAGGTCAAGGGCCCGCTTTGAAGGCTAAATGGCTAAAGGTCACATGACGGGCTTCGCTCGTCCCGCTAATGCTCGTTAAGAGTAACATCACAATCATGTCAATAATTTAAATTTGTATGTAACTGGTCCTTAAGTAAGGACACCTACATTCGTGGTGATATTCTATTCGTGTACAGCCCGAATAAAACTTTGACAAAACTTCTGAGTTATACCGGTTTAGAAATAGCTAACTAGACCAAGTTAAAATGAGGAGCACCGGTGCTTTATTTCATGATCTCGAGGTAGCTTCTGGCTTCCATTTCAGTTATAAAGGTAACATGTACTTTTGGGCCTCGTGATCCGGAGCATAGGCCACGTTATTCAAAAAGGCGGCCAGGTGATCCATAAAGAGGGCCTCTCGACGCAGAGAAAAGTCTTTTGAGCCGATTTAGCAGCCTGTAGCTCAGTAAGGGGGCCTCCTTGGTCAGAATTTTGGTAATCCACATAAACGTTTTTTTCTGGCAAAATGGGCCTCGCAAAAGTTTTGGGAAGGGGCAAAATGGGCCTCGCAAAAGTTTGGGAAGGGGCAAAAACTTCCCCCTTCCTGCCTGCCGGGGGACTACCTCCTCCGCCCCCCCCCCCTCCCCTCCCCCCGCTCCCACTGCACCGCCCAGGGTAATGTCTATGTGCATAATTGCGCGCCATTTTGCTACATAATGTCCGACAGGACGTTAACCAAATGATGATGCTCATGATAGAACGAGCACCAGTGACCAAATGATGATGCTGATGATAGCACATGCACCAGTGACCAAATGATAATGCTGATGATTGCACGAGCACCAGTGACCAAAAACGCATGACTAATTTGACACATCGGGGATCCAGATCGCACAGATTAAACATCTTTAAGCAATTATGTCACCGAAAAAAACTCAAGAGTGATCGTCAAAATTGTCAAAGTGTAGCGTTATCTCAGTTAACAATAGGCAGGTGGTCATTCGCCGAGCACAACTACCCGCTGCACTTGGCTGTTATGGTGAGGGTGAGGTGCAAGCAGACTTGGCTCTCTCATACACCAACTAGATCTTGTAATCCACATAAATGATTAATGACATAAACGGGAAGTTGTGAGCCTTTCATTACCCCAGTCTCGCTCACTTGTTAATTGACATGCCGAAGTTATTCATGCCGCAGATTTATGCATTGATACATACCGCAGTTACTTGTTCATGTTCATGTTATTAAGGAGTCATTCCAACAAGTGGTTTATTATTTCACTCCGTGCAATTATAATATCAATTTAAGTCAAATATTAAATCATAACAACAAAGGGACTACGTTAGCACATTGTTAGTCATGCCGTTCGATCACGCAGCTTCGTCTAAAACAAAATCATTAAACATCAAAACATGTTATACAACAAGCAAGTAACGATACACAGCATCGTGCATTGTTCACTGTCCACTGCATTCACGAATAATTCCAACAAGTGGCTCAGTGTTTGATTCGGCACGGGTCCAGTAGGGTACACGGGTAAGTAGCATTAAATGCGGGATCAAAACATGACAACAATGCGACCATATTTGCATGCTATCAAACATCTGGTCGTTCGCACAACTTCGTGAAAAATCAAAATACAGATGGTCAACACCTGCTATACAACGGCAAGCCAGCAGAAGGGACCGTCTAAATCTGCTACGG